ATAAAAATACCTTGAAGACACCGACTTGCAAACTCTGTATACCCTTCATTACATTGACACTTTCCACGATTGAATAAGCTGTCAGTGTGTCTACAAAATCCTCCATTGGGAGTTCCAGTACACTCTTCGTTAGTTTGGCATGCATCACCGAGCATCTTGACCCCTAAAAAATATCTGGTCTACTTATCATTGTTACGGTGGAAAGCAGATAAAATAAATATTTTTATTAGTTTTTATAAGATATTAGCGAAATGCTAAAGAAAATAAACCTCACGGAGGAATTAATGTTAAGACATATAGAAGTTTTAACTAATTCAAATTACTGTTTCTGAATTAAAAAAAAATAATAAGTATACCTTGTAGCTTCAAAAGTGTGTTTTGAATTGAGGCAAAATTTACGCAAAAGTTAATACTATTATAATTAATATGGAGATACATGTAACGAGCGGTACTCGAGGTAAATCCTTTGAAACAGTAAAAGTCGGGAGCAAAGCAAACACAGACTTAAAAAAAAATATCAGAAGTGGGATCAGGTGCCATAAAAAGGAGCATTCCCTGTCCTAAAAAGTAAGCATAGGTAGTAACATTTTCTTCGCCATGCGCCTCGCTGCAATAATGTAGTCCTCTCCGATTTATTTTAATCTGATATTTTCAGGAGAGGGCTACAATTCCACCGCATATCCATATTGGTGCACATATATTTTTTTTAGATGCGGGCAACTGCAAGCAAAATAAATTGTTATTGCATTCAACTTACTTCCAATAAGACGGAATTTTTATTCACTAACAACAACATAGCCCTTTATATGCGAAAACCAAGTAAAATAAATATGCGTGTTTACCAGTCGTTCTCCTCAGCAGCCATGACAGTTCTCGCGTGATGTACTGAGACTTGCGTTTGAAATTAAGAATCACTTGATTAAGTAAATATCGGTGTTGATAAATGTTTGTGTTGTATGATATCACTAAATATCGATAAATAAAAGCATACCAAGTGATATTTTTTCATAAACTGTGATTATGCTTAAAAAAGGGAAATCCTAAACAGATCCGCTCCCCTAGATCCCGAATTATCATTGGTTTTCCCAAAATAAAATTGATCAAGGTCAGTAAACATGGCGGATGAATTCAAGTTGAAATGTTGACATACACAAAAAATAGCCGATATACGGATTGTTCTGTATATTTTTGGATCAATTAATGTCTTGCATAACAATATTTTATGAGTTCAGGTAAGATATGTTAATAAAATACCCACTCACTGATAATTTGAGCAGAAATCTGTGCGGTAGTGAATCACTTGTAGAGTTCGCTGTAGCCCTCTCCCAAAAAAAGAAAGGGCTACATTACTGCAGCTACACGCGCCCGGCACTAGAAATGAATTTTGCGGGTCTTTTGGATGAGTCTTTAAAAACTGAAATCCCTTGGCACGATAAATAACCCTCACTGGTCAATGGCCCTGAGTACCTAGTAAAATTCTAAATTTGAAGTCCTTCACCGGTATTTGGTGACGTCTATATATGAGTAAAAAATTCTCGAATGGGACGTAAAACAACTTAAGAATTGCTATGACGCCAAGTCTTTTTTTCTTGCAGTCTGCAATTTTACCTGTAGCCGTCTGATTCTAGTAATACATATTGTTAGTCCAATAAGATATTATCGGACCGCAGTTATTACAAAATTGGACGGAATTTAAAAAAAAAAATGTAGATTCATGGTTTAACACGTCCAGAAAATGAAACATATTCAGGGTATGTAAATACAAGGAATTTAAGTTGCTACAAAGTAGCAAATCCATGAAGAAGAAAATCAAGATTTAACTGTATGTATAGTAACATTTCCAATAGGGTTTTCGATATAGCAGTGTAAACAAGCGAATTAAAATCATTTCTGATAATCTGCGGATCTCTTCTTTTAGTGTGGTTTGTTCGTCGCTGCTGGCTGCACTTTTCAAAGCCATCAATTTATATACAAGATCCAGCTAAAATTTTAGATCAAACTCAGCATTTTTATTTTCCAAGGTGATGATATCGTCCAACACTGTGTATCACTTTCAGGCGTACTTTACTCAAAAAAAAAAAAAAAAAAAAAAAAAAAAAAAAAAAAAAGAAAATTCAAAAATATTTCTTCACTAGCTCACCAATGTCCATAATTCCTACTAAACTAAACGACTGAATGAATGAAATGAAACAGAAGAATTAAGTGTTTTACTGTCTAAACAATAAAACCCTTTCTCTTTGCTTTAGTCTACTTATTGAATGGTTTCAGGCAGAAACTTCTGATATTTGAATTCCTATTGTGTAATTATCGGACTCCTCCTGTTAACTTTAAACATTCAAATGACAATGTTTTAAGTATAACATAAGCCTCATACAATTCTATATGTAAAATTATTAGACTGTTTTCTGCCTAATGGGCCTCAAACAGTCTGATAATTTTACATATAGAACAACTCACGGTAAATATCTATTACATACAATCAATCAATCTTTAGTGGGTATAAACGTTGTCCTTTTGTAAGTTTTAAGGTGTGCCAATATTTTTGGCAGAACGGAATTGTGAACACCGAGTTCTACAAGTTGCAAACCGGTAACATAATTTGGCAATGCTTAAAAGAAGAGGTCTTCAGATACCTAAGATATATGGATAAGTACGTTTGAATACCAGTTTACACAAGAATTCAGAGAGGTGTAATGTGTAATTAAAGGCTGATCAAAATTTATTATTTTTATTTTCTTGCTTAGAACTTAAACATAAATGTGAAGATTAAGCGAATAAAATTTTAGCATGATCTAACAACTAAGATAAGTCTATATTGGCACCCAGCTATAAATCCAGCTATATGGTAGGGCACCAGCTTACATTTTCGTAACAAAAAAGGATGAAATGCTTATATGCTCATCCCAATTAGTTTTTTTTTTTAATTTAATTTAACCATTTTGTGTATTCTTGCGTGCAATTGAAGAAAAAACTGGAAAAAAAATTCTATCATATGTAAATTAGGGTGAGCTTAGGAAATATGCTTAAATGTATACATGTATATGTTATTTAAATACAATTTTTTTAGGTAGCAAAGTAGTGAAAAGGCATGAACATTAACAGGATATGATTATAAGAACATGAATTTTTGGTGTTTGGACTTTTAAATATTCAAACACCGACATAAAAATTCATTTGCATTGGAGACACATATCCAACATGTTGTGTGTATGTTTCGAAAGTTTAGGTGTGTTTAACTGAAGTACATCTTTAACACTGGTCATATGTACGTATATGTACATCATCGAAGAAAAACTATTTTGTTTGTTTGTATGTTGTTTAACGTCCCTCTCGAGAATTTTTCACTCATATGGAGACGCCACCACTTGCCGGTGGAGAGCTGCAAATTTTGTCCTATACTCGGCACTTAAGGCCATTGAGCAGTGAGGGATCTTTTTCGTGCCAGCACCTACTTCGACACGGGACCTCGGTTTATACGGTCTCATCCGAAGGACCGGTCTCCACGTCCCACAGTGGGATTCGAACCCGCGACGTAAGGATCAACTCCTTACTTCGCGACTCTAGAGCAGACGCTCTAACCACTGCGCCACGCGGGCGACCGAAGAAAAACTAAGATAATATCTTAAACACGCTCACATGTCTCGATTGTAATTGAGTGTATTTTGTATTTTGTATATATGTATGTCATGCATTTCACGTATGGTAAGGCCATATGTGAAACGTTATTTATTGTTGTCGATCGTTGCTTCAAGTAGCCATGGGAGAAAAGTATAAAAGATCATTTCTAATGTGCTTTGTGATTTTGCTTTGGACACGAAATGCAGAGTTTTAATTTTGATTGGAGCGTTATTTTTACTGATTCACAGTTTAACGTTACAATCAGTAAAACGTCGTTACTTTTTGGTCTTAATTTATGGTACTTGAAACAATTTTCCCCCCTTTTTTTTAATTCAAATTGTGCAAAAATGTAATAAAAGAATTTAAAGATCTCACTTGTTTTTAATATTACATCTGAAAATCCAACTTACACTCACATATCACTTTCTAAGGATAACATTCTTCAAAATCAGATTTCAGTGTTTAATGCTTTAACATTCCAGTCAATCAATGTCAGTTCGGTCAAGGTCAATGTCAGAACGCCACTTAAACCATAGATTCCTAAATACACGCGATGAATTAATTATCTAGCAATTTCGAGAGAAGCCCCACCAGCGAAATTTAATTACTCGCTTTTATATTTATGGTACTGAAATCAAATCTCTTAGTCAAACGTCCACTCGCGTGTGATTGTTCTCGTTAAAGAGCCATTTTGCGATAACAAGCACTCGTGAAAAATAAGAAATCTACAGTACTTGATTTGTAAAGATTAATATAAAAAAACCTCTGCAAAGTA